CTCCCTCCCTCCCTCCTTCCCTTCCTGTTTCCCTTCCTCCCCTCCCTCCCCCCCTCCCTCCCTGAGCAAGGATGTGGAAAGGGGGGTGCACATTGAAGTGTCCTGTTGTCCCCTCCCTAGAGCAGGGTCATCACCGGAGATACTGGGGGGAAGCCGCACACACAGCCCACTGGCCTCCCCCTCCAGCAGGGTTTCCCGGTTTCCGGGCACTCCAGCCTGCTCTCACGGCAGCTTCATCCAGTGTGAGTGGCTGGCTCTGGGGTCTCAGGCTAGATCCCGCTGTGATTGTTTTGACTGCAAATGAGGCAGACGGACAAGCACCGGTTTTCATCCCCATCAGAGCGGCGATGCCTGGACAGTGCCTGAAGCGTGTGTCCTCCTGTGGCCGCTGGGGGACGGGCCTGCGTCCCTTCAGCCGCTGTCTGCCTGCTGGACCCGCCTCCTGGGACAGGCTGTGCGCTTGCAGAGCGCGGGGGAGGCCAAGGGCACTGGGCCTGGGAGCGGACTCCCCCGCGGCCGCCCTCCGCCTCTTCCTTCCTGGCATTTCACTCGAATGGGCCGCTGTCGCTTTCCCGTCTCTCAGGGGCAGCAGCTGTGAGCTTGGGTGTTTCCCTCCCCTCCCCTCGGCCCTGGGCAGGATGGGGCGGGGGTCTGCGGGGCCCTGAGGTGCTGGGGGCGTCACAGCTGCTGGGGGAGTTGTGTCCAGGACCGGATGACGTCCAAGCGGCTCAGATCTGGTGGCAGGTGTCTGCCGTCCACAGGGGCCACTCCTGCCCTTCCCTTGTTGCACATGTCCAGGTGCGAGCTGGCCAGTGTCCACTCGGCCTTCCAGTCATGCCCCTGGTTCTGCAGAGATGCCTGTCCACCCGGCCTGCGCTCCCAGAGGCACCTCTGTGCTCAGTCTCGGCGAGGAGAGGGCGCGGCCCAGCAGCACCGAGCCCTGGCGGGTAGGCCGGCGGGCACGGGGTTCACGGCCGGACACCTGTCAGGGGAGACGGGGCCAGGCCTGTGCCAGGCTCGGGAGGCCGCGTCCCCGATCAGCTGCAGCGATGAGACCATGTGCCAGGGGCCGGGGCGCCTACCGGGGTGGAGGCCATCCGGCTGCTTGTGGTGATGGTGGCTTCACAGAGCACCCGGCCATGCACCTGACATTTACACAGTTTCTGTGTGTCACTCACACCTCAGTAGAGACAGAAAAGAACAGGTGAACGAGGGGCCCCACAGAGGGGACTGGAGGCGCGTCGAGGGTCCGGGCAGAGTTCATCGCGTTTCCCGCAAGTGGGCTCCGTCCTCTCTGCCCTGCAGGCTGCTTGCCGACCCCCACCCTGTCCTGCTCGCACACCAAGTGCTCCTCCGACCCAGATTCATGAGCGAGTCTGACCAGCAGGGCCTGTCGCTCACTTCTGGGGTGCAGCCAGTCCTGCCAGGCCCTCCACAGGTGACACCCCGACCCTGTCCCCAGACAGGGCCCCTCTTCGCTGGGATCTGACTCAGGGCTGGAGGAGGTGGGACCTTCTTCCTGGACCACTGTTCATGGTCCGCCGGGAACGCTTCCCCCGGGGGCCTGGGAGGACCCTGCAAGTGTGGGGGAGCCGAGGGTGCAGGTGCAGGGCTGTCTCCGGCTCCCCGGGCCGGTGGCCGTCTCCTGGCTGAGAGCCCAGCGCACAGCTTCTGACTTTGGTGCAGAGTCAGGCCACAAGTCAAACGTGTCAGTGCCACGTCTCACGTGCGATGGCACTCGGATGCTTGCGTGGTTTTCTGGGTAATTAACGCTTGTGCCCTCAGTGGCAGGGTCACGGCCTGGCGCGTTTTTTGATGATTCAGAGGTGCTTTAATTATAATTTCCCTCATTATTAAACTGAAACTGTCCTCTTACAAACGCCGTGGCGAAGGGGCTGGAAGTCACCGAGGTCGCTCCTCCCAGCGCCACTGGGACATCTTGGCACTTACATTTTGATCGGTTCTCTGGGTTTTCCTCGAGTTTCTACTCTGTGTGATCGCCACCGTTTGATGTTCGTTTTCACATTGTTGACTGTGCGTCTCCATGTCGCGTATTTTCCACGTCCCTGGGAGTTTTCCCGGCTGTCATTTCTGATGGCTGCATAGTGTTCTGTCCGCAGTGTTGTTACAGGTGTGGGTGGGCTGTCCCGTGTCCATCTGTCACCTGTGCCTGCTCTAGGAGCTTCCTGGTGACAAGTCAAACCGTCAGGGTAGAGCGGGATCTGGGCGCAGGTTGTGCGGCAGAGGACCCTGCGGGCTTTGAGGGCTCCGCACACGCGGTGCAGGAGCTGGTGATGGGCGCAGGCATGTGTCTCTCCAGCGTCAGCCCCACCCCTGGGGACAGCGGAGCAGGCGCAGCCCTGTCCCCGCGCTTCGGGTGGTGACTGGAGGGGTCACGTCGGGCAGGCGCGCAGAGGCGTGGCCAGCGGAGGCCCTCAGCGCCTCGGCGTAGGAGGGGCTCTGGGATGTGGACGTCGGGTGGGAAGGTGCTCCCGGGTCTCTCAGGATGCACAGGCCGCAGGTTGAGGTTTTAACGTCGCCACCAGCTAAGCCTCCCCGTGACTGACGGCAGAACTGGACGGCGAGTCGTGCCGGAGCCTGGTGGCTTGCCGCGGGCTCAGGCGGAAGCAGAGCAGCGGGCGGTGCGAGGGGGGCAGGCCTGTGAGGGCGTGGTTGCTGGGGACCCTGCCGTTCCAGCTGCAGCCGCGGTGACGCGCGGGCTGAGCTGGCCGTGAATGGAACCTTGTTGGTGGGGCTGTTCGCGGCCTGCGGCTCCTTGCAGTGCTTCCTTTTCGTAACAGTAAAGGGAATTGCAAAGCAAGGAGCCTCCACTTGAAACAGAGAAGCATAGCGCGGATGAAGCGTTCACGCCCTGATCCGCTGTGGTCTCACGAGCCCCCCACAGTGCGCGCTGCTTTTATCTCCAAACTTGAGAGCGACTCTTCTTGACTCTTCTTTCATTTCTTTAATGTGTTATTTTGTGACACGTCTGTAAAGGCTGTTGATGGGTCTGTAGCCGTCCTGGGGGGCTGTCTGTGCTCAGAGGAGGGATGACCTGATGGGGCAACCTCCCCTCATCCGCTTCACCCTCTGTCTTGAGCCCTGCAGCCGGCGTGCTCCCCCGGAGGACGGAGGACCAGAGCCAGGCTGTGCTCACTGCCTGTCGTCTGGGAGGGTAGATGGGGATGGGGGACAGGGAGGGAGGGGGCGGGGGCGGGGGAGGACCGGCTCGGTTTGGGGTGAGCTGCATCAGGGCTCCTCTAGTTGCTAGGTGTGTGTCTACAGCTCTGGGGGGCCTGGGTTTAGACTTTGTTTGGGCCTCACGTGGATGAGGACGGGCGTGGGCATGCCTGGCCCCTGGGAGAGGGTCAGGACTGGAACTGACTTTACAGGGGGTGGGCAGAGTGAAGGGGGCCCGTCAAGAGGACAGTCTGCTGTGGAGGCCGTAAGAAACACCGCGGCCAGGGGGCTTAAACCACAGACGTCTGGTCCCTCCCAGTCCCGGAGGCTGGACGACCGAGATGACGCTGTCGCAGGCTGGTTCCTGAGACCTCTCTCCTCGGTGGTAGACGGCCGTCTTGTCCCATGTCCTCACGTGGTCGTCCCCCTGGGCATGTCCGCATCCTCACCTCCTCTTCTTGTAAGGACCCCAGTCCTATGGGATCAGGACCCACCCTAAGAGCCTCATTTCACCTTTACCACCTCTTTAAAGGCCCTGCCTCCAGATACATCGTGTTCTGAGGTCCAGTGTATGAATCTGGGGACACAGTCTAGCCTCACAGGGACTGAAAGAGTCTGCCAGCCGGTGGGAGGGAGTCGCGAGCATGCTGTGATGGTGCTGCCCCAGGAGGGTGGTTCCAGGAGGGGTCGTGAGAGTTCCTGGGGCTCCCGGCCTGGGCAGGGGGCGCGTTTGCAGCCCAGATGCCAGCCGTGGCTTGCGGGGCACAGAGGTTGGTGCTTGCGGCTCTGACTCTGGGCTGCTCCGCGTGTGGCCGTTGTGTCCTGGATCCCCATCCTGGGTGGGGTCTGTCCCTCCACACCACACTCCTGGCCTGGCTCCCAGACCAAGGGGGCCTGCACCTCGTCTGTTTGGTACCCCTCGAACCCCAGAACCCCCGGCCGTGCTTGGCCACCTCCATCTCTTCTGTGCGTGGAATTGGGAGCCACGTGTTTCAGAGAGGTGTCCTCCTCTGAGTCGCCCAGCCTGCCGATGACCGCTGAGTCCCATGTGCGCGGAAGCTTTCCATTTGGAGTGTCATTTGTCATTACAGATGCCCGGGGGGGCTGTGTCCTTGCCTCTCCCCGGCTTGAGTGTGGAAGCCTCGTCATCTCTGCCCTGTCAACTTGTGACCCCTGTGTGTCTCCGTGTCCCCCCCCTTTCTCACAGGGACATGGTCATGCTGGATTGGGGCCCACCTGCTCCGTCCACGATGACTTCACCTGGAGTCCCTCTGCCGGGGAGGTATTCCCGGAGGTGGTCACCTTCAGATGGTAAACAGCCAGTGTAAACCAAACACCTTACGATTTTGTATGCTCTTTGTCTCAGGGATTCTGTCACTGAATATTCATCTTAAGGAAATAATCAGAGATCTTTACGTTAGTTGACTGTAAGAATATTTGTGAAGAAACAGCCCCAACGTCTTACACTAGAAAAATTGCTCAGATTACGACGCTCACACAGTGCGATACTGTGAAACCATTAAAATCACTTTGTTGAAGATCAGTCAGTAATGTGGGAAAAAGTTCCTGACATGCTAAGTTAACGTAAGTCTTTTTGAAAAACTGGGGTCTCTTCATGCTCGTCTGCTGGGAGGTAACAGACGCTGGTGAGGATGTGGAGAAACTGGAACCTTGTGCACGGCTGGTGGGGATGTAAATTGGTGCAGCTACTGTGGAGAGCAGCATGGAGGTTCCTCAAAAAAAAAAAACCCAACAAAACTACCATGCGATCCAGCAGCCCCACTTCTGGGAATATTACGCCCAGAAGACTTGAAAGCAGGGCCTCAAACAGACACTCGCGCCCCTGCGTCCGCAGCAGCGTTGTTCGCAGTAGCCGAGGAGGAAGCAGCCCAGGTGTCCGTCAGCAGTGGATGTTTGAGGAACTGTGGTCTGGACACAGTGGAACATCACGCAGCCTTGAGAAGGAGGGAGACACTCACCACAGGGGTGGCCTCGAGGACATCGTGCTCAGTGAGAGGGACCCACATGAAGGACAAGTCCCGTCTGATCCCGCTCACGCGGGCCCCTGGAGGAGTCAAGTTCTTAGACGGAAAGTAGGTGGGGGGGGTGGGGGGCGAGGGGACGGGAAGTTAGCATGTAACGGGGCAGAGTCCCAGTCTGGGAGGCTGGGCAGGTTCCAGAGACGGACATGGTGATGGGCGCACAGCAGTGCGAATGTGTTCGTGTCACTGACCTCTGCTTCAGGATGGTCGAGACGGGGGATTTGAAGTTATGTGTATTTTACCACAGTTTAAAAAAAGACCTCGGTTTTGATCATTTCATTGCTCCCTTCACACGCACGCACACACAAGTGCGGTCTCTGGACCTACTGCAAGCGATTGGCACTTTCTTTGTGCTTTTCTACATTTTACAGATTTTCTGCAATGAGTATATGTTGTCTGCTTCAGGTTGCAGGACGTGTTTCTACCTGACACTCTAATTTTTTGGAGCATATTAACCCTTTGACATTCACATCTAATTACAATATGAAACTCAGCCACTTACTAGAAGTGAGAAGAGAAATTTGTTCTGTAATCTTCGATTTCAGCCTAACCCAGCAGAGTGATCCCAACAGGGCGGAGGATGCTGGAACTGGGGAGGCTGGATCCTCTCCTGTCGACTTGGGTGCTTCCTAACCAGCTCCAACTATGTTTCAAGCAACAAGGAAGGAATATATATTTCAGAAGGATTTTGGGGCGGGGGCTGAATCATTAAGTACTCAGTTTACTCACAGGAGTAAAGCTGGCGAACACAGCTGAGAGATAAATCTCTTTAACAGAAAAATAAAAATTTCCAGAACATTTTCTAAATGCAGTTACCGTCTCCTTAAGTTCACATTTGCCAAATAAATATGACAGGAGAATAATGCTAATTTAGTGCCCTTACAGAAATGGTGGGGAAAAAGCTTACGTTTTCACTTAGCAACGTGACAGAGCTTTCCCGGCACGGCCAGATTCCTGAGAGCACTGACTCAGAGCCACGAGCCAGGCTTTTCTTTGGTCAGCCCCCTTGCTCGGGAACCACATCTTACAACTGCCCAGCTTTGGGCATTAGAATACACCCGGAAGTGAATTTATGAAAGTTGTTCTAAAAAAACGCTTTACAGTGTCTCGCACTAAATGGGCTATAAGACACCTAGGAGGGGACGGAGCGAAACACGAGCCCAGGACATGAGACACAGGTGCTCCCGGCACTGCCTTCACCTGTTTCTTTTTAAAACAAAATATTTGCAAGTATAGTCTATTTAGTGTTTCTATGTGTAATACACACAAAACTCAGGTAGGCATAGAGGGTTTTAATGCCATATCAGATTTTAATTCCAGCTTATGCATTTTTTTTCCCTGAAAAAAAAATTTTTAAAGTCACCTAGTGATTTGAAATTACAGCTGGTACAGTGTTCTGGTCCTTTAAATTCAACTGACTTTCTTTTTCTTTTAAAAGTCTGCACAAGAGATCTCATTATCTGTGATATAAAAGCCCTTCTGTAAGCAAATACTGCATCCGCTCTCTAACTCCCCCCAAAGAGCAGTCCTGGAAAGAGCTCTCATGACCACGTGGACGCAAGGCACCCACACTGTGGGCTTACGGCAGGGATGGCACGCAGCCGGCTGGGTGACTAGAAGGGATGGAGTCTTTACACTGAGCGCAGGGCCTGCTGAGTTAAACGTCGCTGCTCTCCTGGCTGCTTTAGTTCAAGGTTTTCCGAGTCGATTTTTCCTAACGCGATTCTGAGTCCAGAGTGGAAGCATTTAAGATGTGGGAAGTGCCTTTTTTTTTCTCTTGCCCTCTGCCTTTCTGCCTTTTCTTTCCAGACTGTGAGCTGTGGGTCCTGACCCCAAGGCCTGATGCTGTGCACATTTCCCAGTAGGAAGGCTGGGTGCCGGCCTGGGGGCCTGGCCACCCGTCCTCGACGCTTCTGTGTATGTCCAGGAATATGAAAGTCATTTTACCAGTAACAGGTGGTAACACTGGTTTATGTTACCTTACACTTTAGAAAATGAAGTGAAGTACGACCGTAACAACAACGAGGAGGAGGAGGGGGAGCGGCTGGATTTCGACAATGGGGATGAGGTTCCAGACGCAGACGGACAAGCACCTGGGGCCCCCCAGGCAGATGACGCGGGAGCCGCCGCCCCCACCCCCACCACCGCCACTGACACCGTCTCCGCCACCGGCCCCGCCACTGACACCACCGTCACCGCCACTGACGCCGCCACCACCACTGACACCACTGTCACCGCTGCCACCGTCTCCACTGCGGGCTCAGGTCTGTCCTCGGGCTGCCCACCTGTGGCTTGGAACATCCCGGGGGAGGTAGTGTCGGGGGCCTGAGGTCTGTGCTGTTTCTATGATGCAGTGTGAACTGGAGTGGCTTAAGTTTGGTCGAGATCCTCTTATTGGTCCTATTTTCCATGATTTTCAGTCTTGTCCGTCTACCTTCATATTTATACATTGGAGGGAACAGGCACTGCCGTGTGTGTGCATGATTACCACGGCTCCTTTCCGTCTTCAGGAGGTGAAAACGGGAGGCCGGGCGCAGACGCGGCCGCGCCGGCAGAACCTCCTAAACTCGTGGTCCCGCCGAGGGTCAACCCCTACTCTGTCATCGACATCACGCCCTTCCAAGAGGACCCGCCCCTGCCCGCAGACGCAGACGCCCAGGAGGAGCCCACGGGCTTGCATGTGCCCAGCGGCTACTTGGTGCCGGTGCCCTGTGGCTACGCCGTCCCCTCCAACCTGCCCCTGCTCCTGCCCGCCTACTGCAGCCCTGTGGTCACGCCCGTCGACCCCACAGGTAGTGCTGCCCCGCCAGGCCCGGCCACACCGCGTGCTCCCGGATTCTCGGGCCTTGGCCACAGGAGCACTGCCAAGGGAAGGGTCACCGTTGTGGTGTCTTGATGCAGCACGTGTTGCTGGAGTGTGTTATATGTCACGTTACCCCTGTCTCCCCAAAACTCACTTGTTGAAACCCAGCCTTCAAGGTGATGGTGTCAGGAGGTGAGGTCATGAGGATGGACTCCCTCCCTGCGTGGGTTTAGTGTCCTGGTGGAAGAGCCCCAGCCCCTCCTCCAGGTGAGGACACAGGGAGAAGACGCCGTCTGTGGACCCGGAGGGGCCTCACCAGACCCTGAGCCTTCTGGCACCTTGGTCCTGGACGTCGGCCCCCGGCTGCCAGGGCCAGACGTCTGTTGTTCTCCAGCCGCCCGGGCTGTGGTATTTTGTTGGAGCCGCCAGGGCAGACTGAGCTGAGAGTGCAGGCTGGCTGAGGCCTGTGGGCAGCCACCTTCGCCCACTGCAGTCCCGGGACCGGGAGGGCAGCCGGACCTCACGCTGAGGCAGTCCTGACCGCTGGGAGTTACACCTGAGGACAGAGGCCCCTCAGCCGCACGGTCACAGTTTGTGTGAAACCTCAGTAAAGGGGCTCTTCCCTTCCCAGCTAGAAACAATTGAGAAAAAAGAACTTTGTCAGATATCACCAACTTCAGTGCTTCTCCCCTGAGCATCATTTGAGGTTGTCATATAGCCGTGATAGCAGATAAATCACAGCTGTAAATGCCCATGAAAACTTAAGAAACAGGAGATAAGTGTGGTGTTTCTTTTTAATTCTGTCTTGATTTGTTTGGGCACTGTTTTATCTCTGTTTGGTAAGATCTTGGGATGCCACTCTTCCTTGTAATCCTATTTGAATATGGTTTATCTAAAAGCTAAAGACCTTGAATCTACCAGTCGACCATCTTTACAGTAAGATAAGCCTCCCGTTGATAAGGAAAGCATGAAACCGTTTTAAGGATAAAAGGCAGCTTCCTGAACACCCCTTTCAGGTGTAAATCAACAGGAACTTTCTTTGCTGAACTTTCTCTCTTTCCCGGCAGAGACACAGGAAGCAGCGGAAGACAACCAGTTTAACTCCTTAGGTTCTGAGGATCCAGCAAACAGGTACCTTCACTGACTTTATGCAGATGTTTTGAGCCCCTGACCTTTTCCTCAGACGTTGAGTCAGGGATTCTGAGGGGCCCCCGCCCTCCCTCAGCCTCCGACTGCCGGGCCCCTCCCCGCCCCCAGCCTTGTGTCCTCCAGCCCACTGCCCTCTCGCCGGGGACCCCTGGTTGGGTCACCCTGAGCACCAGGACTCCTAAGACGTTAACATTACTCTTTGTGGATAAAGAGAACCTGTGAGTCCACCAGCCTGGTGGAGCTGGTTGATGCGACCCCCGTCTCCCCATTGCAGGTGCTCAGTCTGCTTAACGTGGTGATGGCTCTCAGTCTTGTCGGGGAGAAGGGGTTTTTAATTTTGTCTAGCCCGCCTTTCGTCTAGAATCCTTGAAACTGGTTTGATTGTAGGCCTTTCTTTCATGCTGCTTGCCTTCACAAGTGCTATTTCCACTGCTTGAAGTGCCCAGGAAAATCCCCTCCCCCAGGCAGATTCCTACTCACCCTGCAAAACCCAGCTTAAATGTCTCCTCTCATAAAATTTCCTGCTCCGTGCTTCTAAAGCGGTGCACACACCTTGTTATAATTAACTGCTTTTTGCTCTCACTGTTGTCTCCTGTGTCCCTTTCTGCTACTAGACACTGAATTCTTCAAAGACAAAGACCAGGTTTTACCAAGTCTTAGAACATCTACCACCTAGCCTGGCAGTGTTCTTGGTGCAGGGTAGGTGCGTTTGTTTTTGTTTTTAAGCAGTCGTTTTGAGTCATAATTCACACACCACACTACGTTTCACCCATTTAAAGTGTACCACCCTGTGGTTTTTGGTGTATTGCATTGTTCATTGTTAAACAGTGGTTTAAAAATATACCATACAGTTTGCCACAACCATTTTTAACTGTAGAATTCAGTGACCTCAAATACATTTACGTGTTGTATAACCATCACCACCGTCTCCTTTGGAAACTTTCTCATCATCCTGAACAAAACCCTCCCCACAGTCCAGTAACCCACCGCCAGCGCTGCCCACTCTGACCTCTGCTCCGCCTCTGTCTCTGAATTTGCCTGGTCGAGGGGCCTCCTGCGCCAGAGTCACAGCGTGCTTGCCCTTCATGTCTGGCTTGTTTCATTTGCATCCGTGTTGTAGCACGTGCTGGGTCTCCTTCCTTTTTAAGGCTCGATGATACTCTGCTCTAAGTACAGACCACGTTGTGTGTGCCAGCTGATCTGTCGATGGACTCGTGGGTCATTTCCACCTTTAGGCCCCTGTGGGTGATGCTGCTGTGAGCATTGGTGTGCAGGTATCTCAGCTCCCTTGGCTGCATCTGGGAGTAGAATTGCTGGGTCACAGGTCAATCCTGTGTGTAACTTTTTGAGCATCAGCCAGAGTGTTTCTCGGAGGCTGCACGATTTTCCGCTCCCACCAGCTGTGAACGGGTTCCAGTTCCCCTGTGAGCTCACCACACTTGCTTTCCGCCTTGGAAACCCTTGGCCTCCAGCGTGCGCGAGGTGCTGTGTGGTTTTGATTTGCATCCCCTTGCTGACTGAAGGTGGTGAACGCCTGTCTTTTCACGTGCTTCTCGGCCGCTTGAGTGTCTTTCTCGGAGAAACGTTACTCAGATCCCTTAGCCCGTTTCTGAACTGGAGTTTGTGGTTGTTGTTGGGTTGTAGGCGTTCTTTATATAGTCTTGGTGTTAACCCCTCATCAGACACGCGGTTCTGGAACATTTCCTGCCGTTCTGTGGGTTGTCTTCACTCTCTTGATAGTGTCCTTGGATGCACGAAAATTTCTAGTTTTGCTCAAGTTCAGTTTTATCTGTGTTTCCATGTTGTCGCCTGTGCCTCTGGTGTCGTATCCAGGAAGTCATTGACCAACCTCGTGTCCCGAAGCTTTTCTGCTGGTCTTTCTTCTAGGCGTTCACAGCTGTAGCTCTTAAGGCGGGGGACCGTGATCCGTAGTTCTGTTCACGTCCTGTTTGCACGTTGAGCTCCGGCCTGGTTCTGTCCGCGGCTGCGAGTGCTGCGCCGGCGGCTCCGTGACGGCCGCGAAGCTGCCTGCCTGCCCGGTTTTGCTTCGTGTGTTTTGGGGCCCCTTTGATAGTCACGTGCACGTTGATAATTGTCACGTCTTCCTGCTGCGCTGAACCTTTCACGAGTGTGTCATGTCCTCCGCTGTCTTCTGTAACCTGTTTTGGTTTGGGGTCTCCCTCGTCTGATTAGGTGGTACCGGGTCTCGGTGTGGTGGCGTGTGTGGCGCAGGGGAGTGTGTTTATTGTCGCTCGCCGTTTGCCGGCGTTTCCTGAGTGCCTGTCGTGCGCTCGGCGCCAGAGTGAAAGCAGCAGGGACACGGTTCTCGCGGTGTCGGCGGGGCAGGGGATGCTCGTTGGTAATCGCGGGAGTGAGTGGCTAGTCCCACGCAGCGGTCACTGTCCTGCGAGGTGGGAGTGTGGCCTCACGAGCGCCGGTAGCAGCAGGGCTGCCCTGGGCTGCAGGATTAGGTCGCGTCACGGCTTCTGAGTAAGCAGGGGTC